CCAATATTTAACAGATAATTAATACTTTGTCAATGTTTTTTATAATTTTGATTGACTGTGCCTGGTTTAATAATAATCATAATAATCCATGAAATCAATTCTGACTTATGGCGACCCTTTTCAAGGTTTTCCAGGTGGAGAATACTCAAAAGTGGTTTACCATTCCTTGGTTTTTGGGGGTGCCCTGGGACTGTGTAGCTTGCCCAAGGACACACTGGAGGAACTACTGAGAATTGAGCTCCCACCTTCTTGTTCCTCAGCCAGCTACGTAAACCACTGAGCGATCCACCAGAAAGTTCCTGTATGAGTTGCTAGATATAATTATAGGGTGCAGCTAAGAAGACCACAGTCCAGTCTACTTAGTACAACTTAATCTTAATAAACATAAACATAAACAAACCTTTTATAACATTACTATAGAAATTAAAACTCACCTTTGACTGGGCTGACACAGCACAGATGGAAATAATACTGCAGTATGAAAAGATCACAAAACCTTAAAATATCAGTATCTTAGTATCAATACCTCAACACAATTAACATTCCAAACACTGAAAAAGAAGCAGTAGCATTTACACAATGTCTCCCCTGTGTTTTAAACCAAAGGCCTGTTAAAACACAAGTGTTTTAATGGCCTTTTAAAAGTGGATGTTGTGTATTTCTGACAGAAGGAAGTTCTTCAAATGTGTCCACTACAGAAATATGAGTAGTGGCCCCTCATGCTTCTGATGTTGGTGGTGACACTTACAAAAACACTTCATTTTCTGCTTTTAACACTTGGGGAAGCAGGTATTCACTTCAGTATCATACATGAAACCCATATCCACATCCAGATTGTCAAGTATCTTAAATTTAGCCCAGAAACTAACTAGCATATTATGGAATCAGTCCTTGTGAAATATCCTTCATGACTGGAAATTAGTAGAGTGGCTTTAAGGGACTGTATTCACTTATATACGAGAATGTCACACTGTTAGATGCTTCTTGATGATCCAATTAACTTAGTAAATATATTTTTATTTTACTAAAATATAATCTTTCTTTATTCCCAGACTGCATCGACCAGACATTCCTTTCTCATACCAATGTGAACTTCCAGCCAATCTGTAACCTTCCAAGTGAATAGGGAAAGACGACTACTAAATACCGAAGACAAATTTGAAGCAGGATCTTTTTGCCACTTAGTGAATGACAGGGTGGTTTATGCTTAAGTGCCATTTCTGTTCATTCTGATCGATATTTATATTCAGCATTGCCTTTTGTCTTGCACATATACATATGTGCTAATTAACAAGAACTTTAAAAAGAATAAAGTCCATGCGTATAATCTGCTACGCAGTTGCATACAGCCAGACCTGACTAATCTGTGTTTGAATCTGGAAGATTTTAAGTGTAGTTTGTTCTCACAGTATTATATACTATCTTCTACCCGGTCTTTTGTTTGTTGGGTACAGACGGCTTCTGCTGAACGACTCATAGTAAAACCACTTGAACTCAGTTAGTATGTAAATTACATTCTTCTAGTTATGCACATAGAACATTTTATCACATAGGTTGTAGCTCTATAAACGCATGTTAAAAAGCATTTGATTGAAGGCTGACCAAGGTTGTCCCAGTGCACCTCTCTTGTAATGAATGGTCCCATTGGTGTGAGTTTGCTTTTTCCCTATATAAACACAGGCAATATAAGAGCAGCAGTTCAAACTGCTGCCTTTTTGAAGTCTAGTATGAGCAGATGCTTGCAGTAAGCATATACAGTAGGAAAATGTACTGTAGTGTAACTATCCTAATATATAGTTTGATTCTGGTGGTATGAGAAGATTCTGGTTGCTGTTTCCCAGCAGCAGCATCTCATGTTGCTCTAGTAATACAGGAAAAGAGGAGACAAATGGGAGCCTTAGGATCATTGGGGGAGGCTGCAGTGGCCTCAGTCCTTAACTCAGAAAGGAGTGCAATTGCTGTGGCTTACATAGCAAAACAACGCAGGGTTTGTGCACATCGAAGCAATACCATGCCACCCCCAAAGCACTCAGATCAGCTTGTATACTTGTGAAAAGAGACGTATGAACATTGCTGGTCTTCACAAAATCATAGGGAAAACAGAAACCATGGTGGTTCTCCTTTTTCTCTTTCTTTTTTTTTTCTTTTGCCAATTTGCTCTGCATATTGGTTGTGAGGCTCCAAAGTTTGACCCTTGAGCTTCACTGCACAAAAACTATTAGGCACAAATCTGTAAAGAGCTAAAAGAATTACATTGGGCATCCAAACAGAAATGTCTTCTACAGTACCTTTGTGACTCTGAACATGGGTGGAAGATTGACATCCATTTCATTCTCATGCTCATCATCTCATTAGAAGGCCAGCATCAAGATTTGTTGGCCTTATCCTGCACTTTTTCTAGATAGACGGACCTCTGCCCCACTCCTGCTCTGTCCCCCACACCCTACAATTATTGAAGTGTAACTGGAGATCAGGAGTATATATTCTTCAAGCACTCCAGCTGCACAGCCTTCCTTCTGCTAGGTGACTTTTTAAGGAAGCCCTGCTCATTTCCAACCCAAAAGGAATGGAAGCTGCACAGAAGCAGTGGATGGACAACTTAGATTTTCAGCTTGGAGCACCAGTTTTCATTGTCATTATGTTATGTAAATATATTTACATAATCATTTATTATTTGAGGAGTAGCCCGAATATCTTTTAAGAAGTTATTTACTATGCTTTTAAAATGGGAATGAAGCTGAATTTAGATAAGTTCTTATTGATGCATTTTCATTTTTCTCAGTGAAAGTATAGGCAATGCACTGTTGACATTACTCACATAATTGTAAGGATGCCCCTTTGGATGGATAAATCCATCTCATGGGGAGCCAGTGTGAATAATCACATCTAGACATCTCTGGGACTTCATCGTCTGGCATGGAAGGAGAGAAGATCTCTTAAATATCTGCAACAATTCTCATCTCAGTTTGCTGCCAATCAGTGATCACTCTGCCTCTTGGGAGTGGGAAATGCACATTTATTCCTTTATTTCTTACTTTGAACTCTAGCAATTTTAATACTAACATGTAGAGGAACTATATGTTGTCTCATTTTAGTGCTGTATTCAATTTTGTATCTAGTGTATGCCTAAAGATCAATGATTTATATTCTTTTATTTCAGGATTGCTAAACAAAAGCCTAAATGTTTGAGAGCAAAATGTCCATTCCTGCTTTTCATAAAAACAAAATCTCATGAGTTCCAATGTGTTTCCTTTTGAATTCATCAGTATTTTTCTATGCTTCTCTCTCTGTCTCTCTCTCTCTCTGTCTGTCTTCTCTCTCTCTCTCTGTGCATTATTTGTTTTCAAGAGAGAGAATTGAATAAATTTTGTTTTGTTTTGGAATAAAGACTCCCAGTTTTTGTACTGTATATTAGAGAAGTTTGCTACATCTTTTTAGTAGAATAATTCGCCATCTGAATGATGTTCCCTTACAACTGTATTGATCTGCCAGCAGCAGTGGCCTGTGGTCTAAATGAGGGTGGTGGTACCTCACCCCAAATATGAGGTGTCTCTCCTTTCATAGACAACAGCTTGCTGGTGATCACAACTCAAACTGGAGGTGTGGGGGGCCTGTGAACAAGGGGCTCTATGTGTTTCAGGTCAATTAAACTTGGGGTGAGGGGCAAGAGTCTCCCAACCCTTTTCCTCCATGCCAGTCTCCTGACTTAATTCACACAAATACCCAAGCTGTTGTTAGCTCCATGAGGAAAAACATTCAGATTTGAGTGTGGGTAGGTAGAATTGCTTGTTAAGTATGGAGATAATTCATTTTGAGATCACAAAACTCTATAGACATGCACCTAGTAAAACAGCGAAGAAATTATGGTTCCTGCCTGGAAACAACAGAGTAGTAGAAGGAATACTATCCATATTTAGGAGGAGTTTACAGTGGAACTGGCTGAACATTTGCTGTCATTTCAGAGCAGGTAAAGTCTGCAAGATGTTTGTGTGTATCTGTGCTTTGTACTTCTAAAATGTGAAGCACATTTTTCTGTAAAAGTAAGTTCTTATATAGGATGAAGCTTTTCTGCCTCTGTGCTACAAAGCATGCAAGACAAAATATTCTCATGCTATTTCAGATTCATCACCTAATCTTAGCCTAAGCTTAAATGGTTTTCGGTTAAGGATATAAAAGTCAACAAAGAAGATGAGTAGCATTTAAAATCACAATTTGTCGTTCACTTTGTCATTGATTTATTTCCCTCATATGTGTACAATTAAGTAAAAGGTTTATTCTATTTATAGGCATAAATACCTGTATGAAAAGGCATGTGCTGGTGAGGGCACATCAACATATAATTATAAAATGAATGGATTTTATTTTTGTGATCTTTATATACATGGAACAGACACTAATCAAGATTGCTTGCACGAAGACAAAGGGTTCAGAACTTCTCAGATAAGAAGTGGTTGAGTAAATTATCTTAGTGAAATGGAAAGTAAATATCCTGAACTGTTCGATTCACTGAACCATAATTACTGATAATTTCCCACTAATGCATATGATCTATTTCCAAGTTGTTGTTGTTGTTGTTGTTGTTGTTGTTTTGGCAGGTTAGACTTTAACAGAGGTTCATGGTTGTTTTAAAGTACAGATTTTAACATTTATATTTTTAAACTAAACTGGCTTAACTATAAAACAGGCATGTAATACAACTGGAAATTATCAATAGATGAGACATAAGCCACTAACAAAAGGTTGTGTTTCATAGACCTGTGGACTTCCTAATACCTTAGCTTCTTTCAGGTCTTTGACCCTCAGACCCTCCTTTATTTGAGATAGCAATGGCAGATTTTAAACCATCTGTTCACAAATATTTTGTTGCAACAAATATATTGTTGCATTTTAAAGATGGCCAGACATTATGTTGATTTTTATTTCTCAAGTTCATTTGAATCATATTCAAGATCAATTCCAAAGGTATAAGTAAATACTGTACCTATAAAGAATTATTTGAGGATAATAAACAAGGCCAAGATAGCTTATGAAGAATTAATGTTTTTGGCCCTTGCTACTAGTAGCTGGGGGAAGGGGGGAAGTTATGTTCTTTTATTTCTACATTAAACTAATCCTAGTATAAACTTTTGATTCTGCTATCAGTTAAGATGTACATTAATCTATTTTCATGAGATTTGTGCATGGGTGTAAGACTAACTTATTGGAAGTATTTATATATTTTCTTTTAAGAAGCGGTACTTAATTGGAGGCACCTAGGGTGGTGTAACAGAGGCATTGGATAGCTCAAGAATGATGTAGAATCACATGGCCTGGATTTTCAGTGTTCCATTTTCCCTATACTAGTTCTCTTGTGTGTCATTTAAACATTCAAACATAAGGAGTGGTGAAGGGGTTTGAGTGTGTCAGTAAAATTGAGGACAATACCACCAGGAGGTCAAATTCCCTTACAAGCTTGGACTTCTAGCAGGGTCATCCAACGTTGAATAATCATAGCTGAGGCACCGGACTAAGATACATCCACCCTCTTCAAGGCAGCTACTGGCAGTAAGAATAGCTGAAGAGGATACTGGTGGAGGAGACAACAGTGGTGACACTCAGGCTAAGTACTGTGCTGAAGGTGGCAGTGATAAACCACTGTTGAACTTTCCATACCATGAAACCATTATGATGAGACAGTCCAAAATGAAACAAGAGACAGTGCTGGAGGATGAAACCTCCAGCTTGGAAAGCACTCAATCAGCTACTGTGGAAGAGCAATGGACAAATATAAAATCTCTGTCACTAATGATACAACTAGAGTAAAGCCAAACTTGATTGGAGTTATTTTCTGCCATTATGTTATTTAACAAGTCATTTTAAAATTATTAAAAATAGCAGTGAATAACATAAAATCTTACATCCGCCTTTCTCTTTTAGCTTGAATACAGAACATTTAAAAACAACAACATGGAAACCCTTGTTTCTACCGATATTTATTCAGGATAAATAGTAACCAGTTGCTTACTCAGTATCTAGATCAGGACCTGATGCGTAATGAGTTTATTAAACTTTGGTTTCTGCTTGACCGTTCTGCCCACCCAGAAGGCTCAATAAAGCACTTCCCTCTCTTCTGTTGTTCTGGAGAAGTGGTCTTCCTGAATTTGGCTATATAAGTATTTAATGAGTGACCTATTTGTAAAAGAGGTTTCCTGATTGGCAACAGCAAACGAGAGTGGCTATAGAACGTCTAAAGCCTTTCCGTTTATAACCTCATCTTCCTCTATTTCGCCTGTGGATGGAATGTCACCAAGGCAGAAATGGCAGAAAGTTTGTTCTACTACAGAAGAGAAATCCACTGCTGACAACAGCTGTCCACAGCTTTTCTCCTATAGCTGTCATCAGGCAAGAGAAAAAAAGAGGTAGAAGAAAAGAAACATTGAATCAATGTGGAATACTCAGAATTTCACTTTTTTTTTTGGTAGTTGCCTAACCTGAGTTTAACATCTTTCTATAAACATTAGGGTTAGGAGTGCAAATGCAGTTGTTTCAAGGTACAGCCAGTGTATTTCAAAGGATTGGGGGCAGGTAACCATGTTGGCACAGGGCAAAAAGAGGTCAGTCCCTCCCAAGGGTTTGGAAACTGAAATGTGTCAGCCATGCAGGGTGAAGATAAAAGTTCATAAAGCTGAATTCTGAACTTTAAAATAATGGCTGAAATGCACAACATAGTAAGCCAGGCATTAGGGTAGGCCCTTTGAATCAGTGAGGACTTGGTGAGTCAACTCCGCAGTTTCCCATGATTCAAATGGGCCTACTCTAGTTGTGACTTTCAAAGTAACTTACAACTACAGTGGCACTTGAATCATTGGCACCTATGAAGGACTCACCAAATCCTCACTTTTTAGCATTCAGTGGGCCTACTCTAGTGCAGTTTGCAATACTGTATTAAGCAAGAGGATTTCACTCGCTGAATGCTGATTAGAGGCTACATGTGTAATCTTTTTTGGAAAGCTGCAGAACGGCCAATTGTGGCCCAGACTATATTAGTTTTCTTGGTCAGGGAGTGACTTGTCAGTTGGCACAAAGGCACAGATAACTTTTCTCAAGGAAAGATTGATGATGCGAGTAAATCCTATTTACTTGTGCTCAAAGAGGACATGAATGTAGCAACAGAGAGTAGCTGGGGGGAAATACAAATTTCTATCCACCTATTGCTCCATTTGTACCAGTCCATGT